CAGCCCCACGGTGGGCAGGGGCCTGAGCTCTGGGGCCTCTTGTTTTCGGGGCTGGGGGGAGGGTTCTAGGCCCGGCTCACTCTCCCCTTTCCCCCCCAGCAAGCGCTACGAGCTGCAGATGCAGGAGTCGGAGAAGAAGGCAGAGCAGCAGCGGGAGGTGCTGGCCCGGCTGCAGCAGGAGTATCAGCGAGCCCAGGGCAAGGGGGCTGCCAAGGCATGAGCCGGTGCGGTTGGGGGGGGGGGGAAAGGGTGCCTGTATTTAAGTTTTTCACTGTTTGAAATAAAGAGGTGATGCACAAACTGCTGGCACCTGGCCCTCTGTGCCCCACTCACCGGCCCTGGGCCCCTGCTGTTCACCAGCTGGGCTTGTCTCTGTGCCCCTGGCTGCCTGCTGGCAGAGCAGAGCAGAGCATGATGTGCTTTGCCCCCTCTGCTTTCTCTGGCTGTGCCCTGCACGGCTCCCTCCCAACACAGCTCTCTGCCAGCTGCTTCTAGTGTCTTTATTGCGTTAGTGTTACAGCAACGAGGGCTGGGGCCACAAGCCCCCATACGGTGATTGGGGGTGGGACACACAGTGCTTCCCCCCCACCTCCAGGTGGGACAAATCCCTGAGAAGCTGCCATCTCAGCACCAGTGGGGGCACCCCACGTCCCACCCGTGTCTAGTGGGGAGTTACCCCCCGGCCTCCCCCAGAGTCCTTCTGGCAGGGGTGAGACCATGCTGTAGGAGAGTGGGGGTCACTGCCCTGCCCCACAGGGGTGAGACTATGCTGTAGGAGAGTGGGGGTCACTGCCCTGCCCCCCCCGGGGGCAACCCACCCCCAGCTGTAGCTCCTGGGTGGACAGGAAGTAGGTCCTGGCTTCGGGGGGAGGGGCTGTCAGGACATCACCCTTTCAAGGCACTTAGGTCATGGCCCTGAGGCTGCTGGCTGGGCAGGCTGCCCCCTGGACAGTGCTGGGGCAGACCAGACCCTGATGCCAGGAGAGATGAGGGCAGGCCAAGCAGACAGCCCTAGGCACGGTGTGGCTCCAATTCCCTTCCCCATAGCCTGGGCGCAGGTCACTGCCTTTCCTCCAGGCCCAGGAAGCCCCAGGGCGGTTTTGGGGTTCGCCCTCAGAAGAGGGCCCTGGCGAGCTTGCGGCCGGTGGCCTTGATTTTGGGGAAGGTGGCGCTGAGCTCAGCCCTGCGGGGGGCGGCGCTGGGGGGCAGGGGAGGCTCCCCGGGGCCCTTGGGCCGCAGCACAAAGTCCAAGCTGGAACCATTCATGGCGTAGAAGACGTTGGCTGTAGGCGGGAAGGTCAGCTCTGCGGGGGAAGAGAGAGAGGGTGTGAGGGGGGTTCGGGAATAGGGTCCCCCCCACCCACTCATGGGACCCCTCACCACTGTGGGTGCTCCCCAACCCCCCAATGGGCCCCCTACTCCCTACCCCAGGGACACCAATTCCCCCTGCCCCCTCACCTTTCCCATCAGGCAGCAGCTGGACCAGCTGGAATTGGGGGGCAGCCCCCCGCTCCTGGCCGTGCTTCTCCAGCACCTTGGCGATGACAGACGGAGTCTTGTCCTG